AGCTCTATGCCAGCCAATATAAAGCAAATATGCCATTTTTATAAAAAAAAACTTAATTTAGCAGTGTGTTAAGCTCGGGCGCATTTAGAATTTTAATTGAAAAAGTTTGACAAAATTTGAAATTTGATGTCGAATTTGAATTCGGTTTTGAGATTCAAATTCTATTTAATTGGATACAAGTTTAACAAAATTTGAAATTCAAGTTTGAGTTTTGAATTTTAATAGGACATAGGCCCCGGGCACAAATGGTTAAGGGGCACCTTAAAATACTTAAATTTTTAATAAAAATATATTAGGTTTTTTTTTACTAAATAAATTTAAGTTTAGTGCTATGGTTTTATTCAACTAAGAAATTCTTTTAGCAGAAATGCTTGAGGGAATTGTGTTGCAATTGTTAGCAATTGATCAAAGAGAATTACACAAAAAGCTAATTCTTGTCCGATGAAAATTATACAAATTGTTTTTTATTGTTTAAAGGGAATTGCTTGTGTAGCATTCGTTATATTATGAAATCTTATTAAACCTGAAAATAAAATAAAATCTTCTTGTATGGAAAAGGGGTGTTTCATTTTAAAGAAAGGCTAAAACCAATTTAACATGTTTCAAAAAACTCAAGAATTATAGACCTTTTTTTCAAAAGTTTGAGATTTCAACATTGAGGATAAAGTCATCCCAAAGTCATTTGTCAGATTAAAGTGCTGGCAGGAACAGGACCAATTTGTGGAAAGATTCTGTCTACAATAAATTCCAATACTAGTTCTCTGAGGACTCATATCAGATCTTTCTGTCTAGACAAGGTCGAAGCAGTTGTTTTATTTGAGGCAGGATGGGCGGAAAATGAATCATACTAAGAAGCTAGCTAAACTTTACTACCAATTGGAGAAGAGGATCTCTGATAAAAAAAGAGACCAACATGAGCACTCAGATTCAACTCTCTTTAATTCTGAAACTGATGTGGTTGATTTATTGGGTAAAATCCAACTTTAATTCAACTAAATTCAATTTTTAAATCAAATAGCAATTTTTAACAAAATTTAATTTAAATAAATTAGATTTTTATGATGCTGTTTTAAACTTCAATAAAACATGACATCATTTGGTTTCTATTTAGATGTCAGTTATCCATGGCTTTCACAACTGAATTGTGGTCATCAATGTAAGTTATTTAAAAAAATTTGATTATTTTATTAGTAATGGAATTTTGTAAATACTTTACCATAGAAGTCAATAACATTGAATGGAAATAACATTGAAAGACATTTCGTTAGGAATAAAATTGAATTTGCATATAACATCATAAAATATAAATTGGCAAAATTTTTCAACAAAATTTTATTAAAATAAAATTTGTTTACTTGTTTAGGAAATTTGATTCTTGACCTCCGCTATATCTCAAACAACTGGACCATGGAGAATCTGCAGCTACATTGTGCAAGTGTAGAAGGTAAACATACATCTCAAATTGTTGCTAAACTCTTTGACAGAGCAATTATAAAGATTGTAATCTAGTGTCCACAAGAACTTTATAAGCAATAATGCAGGAAATTTGCTAGCAGCCAAGTGTGCCAGAAAATACATTTAGGTAAAAAAAAATGTATTTAGGTAAAAAAAAAATAGTTTCATTTTTAAGTAAAAGAGGAATTGTAAAATGTGAATTGTGAAAGTTCAAGTTGCCAAGTTATTGAACTTTTTTTCAATCCATTCGAAAATATTTGCTCTCTTTTTTTTATGTTAATAAAAATTTTGACTATTAAAAACAAATAATTTTGTATGCATCATCTGCTACCTCTGAGTGAGGTAATGTCATGGAATTTTATTTGGTCATGGAAAAGGTCATGGAATTCCTAAATTTTCATTGAAAGTCATGGAAAATTCATGGAACTTTTCAAAATGATCTTTATTTTTTTATGCTTTAGATATTTTTAGGATGCAAAGAAAGGTGTTATAGTCTTTGTCCTTTTTAAAAAAGATATTTTTGCAGTGTAAGTTATAGATTATTAGAGAAATAAAAGAAAAAAGTTTTTTTCAGACATGATTTCAGAACTTTCTACCAAATGCTTAGTGCATGGCAAGTACTAAATAATTTACTGGGTAGTGATTTATCATAAAAGTTTATGAAGAGCCATGGAAAAGTCATGGAATTTCCGTTTCAAATTTGAGTGGCCACTCTGTTCAGGTCTTCATCCTTCAGGAGAGACAACCAAGTTTCACATGCATCTGACAATGTCGAATTGCTTTGTAGCTATAAATATAAAAACATTTTTAAGAATATCTATGCAAATATTTTAACAATATATATTGAAGCCATAGTTTACAATATTTTAATGATTAATAATTTTGTTTTAAATGTCTACCTTATCTAAAGCGTATCTCATATCTCGTATTTCTCCAGTTAAATTAGAATATTTTTAGCTTCTCTAAGAATTGCAGCATTATCTATATTTTTCTTGATATTATGTTTAATATCACTTTCATGCTTCTCTATAATATCATGGTAGTGGTTATAATTTTTAAAAGTAAAAATCGTTTGCTGAAAAGATACCACAAAACCTAAGTAATTACATATATATATATATATATATATATATATATATATATATATATATATATATATATATATATATATATATATATATATATATAATATATATATATATATATATATATATATATATATATATATATATATATATATATATATATATATTTATATATATATATATATGTGTGTGTGTGTGTGTGTATATACATATATATATATATATATATATATATATATATATATATTATATATATATATATATATATATATATATATATATATATATATATATATATATATATATATGTGTGTTTGTGTATATATATATATGTGTGTGTGTGTGTATATATACATATATATACATATATATATATATATATATATATATATATATATATATATATATATATATATATATATATATATATATATATAGTGTGTGTGTGTGTGTGTGTGTGTGTGTGTATATACATATATATATATATATATATATATATATATATATATATATATATATATATTATATATATATATATATGTATATATATATATATATATATATATATATATATATATATATATATATATATATATATTTATATTTATATTTATATATATATACAGTGGCGGCTAAATTATTAGACTAGGCTACAAAATCGAGATTATTTGTACCATCCTTGGCACAAATTAGTTATTAAATTAATTTATATATAGTTACTTCATGTATAGCCTAATGTTACCGAAGTGATAATAAGTGCAATTTATTTTTATTTTCGCTTCAGTACCATTTTATTGAAAATTGTAAATGTAAATTGAATATTAAAATTTGGTCATCTGCTATCTGTTAGAGGTCAGTATTTTCTTAATTGTTTGGTATTTATAAACAAAAAATAAAGGAAAATGTACATTCATAAAAGTTGCTAGACATTACATGAAGGTCAATCTTTTATTTAATTTTATGTTCTAAAAACGAAAAAACATGTTTAATTAATAAAGCATTTTATGTCCTTTTTAATAGATGGGAAAAGCTGCTGACTTGTCATCGACAAAATTGGCCAGAGTTGAGGTTTATCTGCGAGAGACATTACGCAAAAGGAGATTGCTAAAAACGTTGGAATAAGTAAAAAATCGGTATCCAGAATAAAAAAAGATGCAGACTGTGAAAAATTACGAGGTAACCGTGTTGGCAATTGTGTCCGAAAGAAATTAAAATATGTCCGAGACTACAGGTATCTCATGAAATACTGTATAAAAAACCGTAAAGCAACAAGCAAGATGTTGCAGAAAGAATTACAAAAAAGTAATGTACATGTGAATACCAGAGTTGTCAGAAGACAATTAGTTGTGAATGGTTTTCGAGCTCGACGGCCGCACAGAAAATCAAAGCTGACTCCGGCAATTATCAAGAAACGTTTGGCATGAACAAAGCAACACAAGAATTTCACTGAAAATGATTGGAGTCGGATGTGCTTCAGTGATGAATCGTCCTTTTACATTATGGATGAGAAAGCAGCTTATGTACGCAGGAGACCCGGTGAATAATTTTATCCTGACTGTGTTGCATAGACAGTAAAGCACCTAACATATGTCATGGTCAGTCATCTCTATTCATGGGCCTGGACGACTGTATATTGTTTAAGGCATTATGAATCAATTTCAATACAAGAACGTGCTTGAGACACGACTGTTGCCTCAACTTGGCGAATGGTGTCGACGGAGACCGTTCACTTTTATGCAAGTTGGAGCACCTTGTCACACTGCGAAAACAGTCAAGAAATACTTAGCTGACAACCACATAAGGCTTCTACAGTGGCCAGGTAATTCACCTGAAATGAACCCACTGAGAGCCTGTGAGAGATTGTCAAAAGAAGAGTAGGAGGGATGAAACCGAAAAACAAGAGGGAACTGACAGAGGCTTTGATAAAAGTTCGGCATCATGGCGACAAAATCCGTCTACTTTGTCCGAAATTTTCAAGGATCCAGGCACTGCTTAAAAATAAGGGAAGTCATACGAAATATTAACTGACATGTTTCAATTATCCGAACTTTAATTGCCATTGTAATTTATTTCATTTTCTATTGTTAGTTTTTGTATTTTTATTGTGATTTTTACTTAGTCTTATTAATGCGAATTTTAAGTCATCTCGATATTTGAATATCAAGTCCAAATTTTGCATTGTATTTAATTGTTTTTTTACTTTTAACGGTTTAATTTACTTTTATTGCTTTATTACAATAAAATATTTTCTTAACTCACCACTGCATATATATATATATATATATATATATATATATATATATATATATATATATATATATATATATATATATATATATATATATATATATATATATATATATATATATATACACACACAAATAAATAAATTTGTAAATTATTAGTATATAACATAAGTATAGCCGTAAAATATTTAAATACAACTATTTATATTTTTAGTTGCAGATATACCAGGGTTAATTGAAGGTGCTCATGTAAACAAAGGTCTTGGGCATACGTTTCTGCGTCATATTGAACGTTGCAGCTTTTTGTTATATGTTTTGGACATTTCAGTTAACGACCCTCTCCAACAATTTGAAATATTAAAAAACGAACTAAAAATGTATCAACTCAGTTTAACATGTTTAAACTCCATTATCGTCTTGAATAAAATCGATTTGATAGATCACTATCAAACAATTGTGGAAAACATTAAAAATAAAACTTCTCTTCCTGTCGTTGGTGTTTCAGCCGTTAAATTAGAAAATATAAACATTTTACAAGAATTAGTAAAAAAGACATTTATAAAATAATTATTTATGTAACAAAATTTTGTTATACTTTATATAGCGTATTATTCAGTTAAAAATATCGACTATTGATTAGCAAGCCTTGACTGTCTTAATGTTTAGATTTTTGTCGTTTTTCTCACCAAAATAAATATTTTTACTTTTCACCTTTTTATTATCAATTATACTTTTTTTTATTCTATTATATATATATATATATATATATATATATATATATATATATATATATTAAACTTGGATTAAGTTATCCTCTTTGTCGAATCACTGTATTTAGCGCATGTCACTTAATACAGTGATTTTCAACTTTCTAACTTGGTCACAACCATTAAACCAGAAAGTCTTTAAAAATTTACTGATAACTTTACTTTTCTATTTAAAAAAAAAAACTTTCTGGTTTTTATTGCATATTCCGAAAATTCTGGTTAGGCTAGAATTTATATTCAAAGCGACTCCTAGGTTTTGTTTGAACAGAAAACATTTGATAACACACCAGGTGATTTGAGAACTGAAACAAAAAACCTTTTTAAAAACGTTTTTATAAACCAGGTAAATTAATTTTCGAAAAAGTAATTACTTTATCTTTAATAGGATCTTAACTTATAAATGGATTTCAAATTTCATCAAAATATATTTTGGCGCTAAAAAATATGGTGCAATGCGCTTTCCACTACACTACACAACTATACCAGGGTCGGATCCAGCATTTTTTGATGTTTGAAATAGCTAACTTCCAGACACGGAGCTAAATCCAAACATTTATATGTTTATACTTAAGTTAGGATACTTTGTAAAAAATTGCAGGAAAAAAAAAAGCCTTAAAATTGTAGCTACATCTGCCTAAAACGTGAGAGCAACTAGAAAATAAAATCTTTTTTTTTGCAATTCTTGATTAAATTTATATCGATATCTTTTATTATCGATAAATTTTAAATTTCATAATTATTGTCGAATTATAGACGCAATCCTCGTCAAAAAAAATTGGAATATTCATGAAAAATAATGTTAGTATAGCTATTATAACGTTGTAACTGATAAAAAGTTAATGCAGTTAATGTTACTACATCGTTAGAGTTAGTTAGTCGACGTCGTCCAACATAACCTAACATACATCTAACGTTGTATCAATGTCGTGTGCCCACCGTGAAATATCCATCCTGTTTAGGGGTGTAATGCTAAGTCATATTTTATCTTTTTTCTATGAAATATATCAACTCATAGTATCTATTATATATAAATTATTAATAATGTATGTATTATATATAAATTATTAATAATGTATGTATTATATATAAACTATTAATAATGTATGTATTATATATAAATTATTAATAATGTATGTATTATATATAAATTATTAATAATGTATGTATTATATATAAATTATTAATGTATGTATTGTATATAAATTATTAATAATGTATGTATTATTTATTAATTATTTGATCAAAAGAACTTCAATAGATGCTTTAAATGCAAAAGAAGTTTACAGATTAAATTATATTTTTATCTTTGTGTTATTTTTCAAAGAATGTAGAGTTTTCTTGCAAAGAATGTAGAGTTTTCTTGCAAAGAATGTAGAGTTTTCTTGCAAAGAATGTAGAGCTTTCTTGCAAAGAATGTAGAGCTTTCTTGCGATTCAACTTCCACAGTTTTTTACTACTTGTTTAAATATATAAAATAAATCACATAATTCTGCAAATTAAATATTTTAAAGTGTTGTATTAGATTTTTTTTTTTTTTTTTAATTTTATTAAGGTGCTCAAAGAAGTCCTTACGGTCTTATCACAGAGCATCGTGGATGAGCATTTAATTGAAAGTTCACGCCTCCTTCCTAACCGATGTCGCAAAACTTGCCCAGAGGTGGGGTTTGAACCACGGATCCTTTGTTTCTGAGGCAAGTGCGCTACCACTGCACCACGGCTACTCAAAAATGATACAGCATTTTAGTTTTTAGAATCTAAATTTTTAAAAATCTAAATATTAGATTCTTAGTGGCACGATGCGTATTGACATATAAACCCACAAAAACTTCAAAAAATAGGGTATTAAAAGCCTACCCTACTTTATACGTTTTTATGTTTAGAAAATATTTAATCAAAATTGTTAATAGCTAATTAATAGCAATTAAAAAATTAAAACTTTGTTAAATATGGATTTTTAAAATTCCACCTGGCAAATGATAACAAAAGATTTCTGAATCATATTTAACAAAGTAATAACAATTTTTTAATTATTAGCTACTAACAATTTTGGTTAATGGATGGGGTTTTGCTTAATAGAAGGATCGATTTTGGTTAATCAATCTTCCGATACTAGCAGTAAGATAAAATATCGAATTAAAACTGATCAGTCTGATCAGTTTTAGTTTGAGATTTTAATCTTATTGCTAGCATTCCGATCCTCGATTAAACAAAGATTTCTTTGAATGTAATGAACCAGGAAAAATAAGTAGTTTTCTTTTTGATAAATAAAACATTCCAGTTTAATTCCATTAGAAGAAAAACAGAGTGATCATTTTAATTCGCACGAAAAATAATTTGCAAAGCAATTTATTGTGTAATGTTTTACTTCTAAAATCAGAACTAGTTTGATATTAAACATAATATTTTGATATTAAATATCTAATTTGACATGAACATCAAAATGTTTAGGACTAATATCACTCCCCTAATTGGTTTGACTAAATAATTTTTTGTTTTAAATCTGACAGATAGTAGTAAAACAACAATAAGCTATAAGAAAATTGTGAAGCTTTGGGTTATGGCTTTGGGTTATGGCTTTGGGTTATGGCTTTGGGTTATGGCTTATGGGTAATGGCTTTGGGTTATGGCTTATGGGTTATGGCTTTAGGCAACTCTAAAAATAGCACTACTGTTCATCCTTAACAATAAAAACATGTTCGCAACTTGGTTTCTTTCTAAACTCATGTTATTACAGTAAAATATTAATATTTTTATTGTTGAAGAAAGACCAAAGTAGTTCCTGTAGTAATACAGGAAAAATTTTAACGAGTAATTATTATTCGGTGGGTTAGATTTCAATTTTTTTTTACTCGACAGCAACTATATTTGTTATCAAACACAATTTAGAGAAACATTTATCTTTAATGCTTTTGTTAAAAGCTTTTGTTATGTTTTGCATAATACCAGCTGTAATTCGTATAAATGTAAGACTAAAATTAAGAAGTTTTTTTTATTTTCTAAATTTACTCAATGAGGACCTGGGAATCAGAAACATATTTGGTCTTCACTATTTTCCACAATCTTATTACAATTGTTGTCGACATCTATTTCCACGTCAGTAATTCATTATGGCTGGGTTTCAATTCGAGGTATGTATGTTTCACATGACGAGGAACTTTATCTACTTCTCCAATTGTTGTAAAACATCTTTGATTATTAACCCTGGCTTCCATATGGTATGGAACTTTGCACTAGATATTTTATACAAAATTTATCGTTGGTTTTAAATTTTTCTTCTGTGTCCTTGTTTACCAGAAGATTTCTTTTTTCTAATCCCTTGATACCAATTTTTGTCAACAGCAACATTGTACCCGGCTAACATTGTATACGGCTTCGGTATCGATATTTTGGATTGTTCTGCTATTCTTTTTATTTTGTGATTGTTTCTCTCTAGAACTCCGTTCCCTTCGGGGTAATAGACAGTTTGAAACACAATACGTGCTTCTTAACAACCAAGAAAATTTCTCATTTTTTCAGTCTTAAATGTCGCCTCATTGTCTGTTAATATTTCAGACGATGCTCCTCCTTCACAAAAGACGGAGAATTCGAACTATGGCTACACTTCCGTATGAACTAGATCTATTACACTTAGAAATTTTTTATTTCCATAATGTTTGATATTCATTGCTAATCTTTCCCAATCTTCTGGATCTATTGACTGATACTGTTCACAACTTTTTATTACCATTTAAAGTTCCTCTTTTTTTCAACTGGAGATAATCCATGATTTCTGGTTTGTTGTATATTTTTATCTATTCTCTTAACTTACTAACGCAAACATCTGAATCTCTCCAATCCAAAATAAGTCAAACTTTGTAATCTATATTTCTTTGAATTACAGTCATTAAAAGAATTTGTCTTTTGGGAGGTCCCATCATCTTTTTCTCATACTTAAGTAACAATACTTATTCATATTCCGAATGAAAGACTTCCTGCTGCTAATAATTATGACTTTCATATATTTGTACAACCAACAAATACAAATAAATATGTTAAATTTTGAGAACTGATTATAGGACATTAAGTTATAATTCAAATAAGTTAAAAATTGAAATTTTAAAATTTTGTTAACTTTATTTATTTACAGGATCCAGATGAAGACGTTGGTGATGTTAAAGAAAACGAAGCTTCAATTCAGATGAAGACGTTGGTGATGCTAAGCTTCAATCCAGATGAAGACGTTGGTAATACTAAAGAAAACAAAGCTTTTGAAAATGAAACTGTTTTTTCATCTATATTTCAATAAAAAAAAAACATCTAGTACAAAAAAATTAAAAATAAATAAAAATCTACACGTAAAAAAATTACAAAAAATAGCAACACCTGCACTAGCGATTTTAAGGAGGAAGGGGTGTTCCACCACCTCTCCCACCCTTTACCTTCTCCCTCATTTTATTCTTAGAATCACCTCAGAGCATGTGTTACAAATAATGGATAGTCCATAATTTACGCAAAGCTAAATTTCACTAGTAAACAAATTAAAAAAGATCAAAAGTTTTCCCTCGCAGAGCCTTAAAGCAACTAAAAAATAAAAATAGCTTGTTAAGTTGGATGAAAATCGTTGCGTGAAAGAGCTTAAGATTTATGTATATTTTGATATTTTCTACACTAGATTTAAATTGATATACAATTTTCTTCAAAGACAAACATATGCATGTTTGTCTTTGTGTTATGTTTTGGAAAACTCAAAGATACAAAAGCTTCAAATTTTTGTGAAAAATGTAAATTTTTTTTAGAATTTGAACATAAAAGAATTTGAATTTGCAGGTTATGAATGGGAATAATTTGTCCCCTGAAGATAACTTTTACAGTGTCGCTGAACGAAGTTTAGGTTGAAAAAAATTGTACCGAAAAACTGTTTACATATATTGTTAGCTTTATATCTGGCGACTCCAAAATTATATACCAAAAAATTGTAACATTCCGTCCTAATGAAATATGACATTTTACAAAAAAACAACAATATTTTGCATATATTTTGTTAATTATTATTAGTGATTTTAATAATAAATTAGCAATATTAATAACTATTCTTGATATGATTGCATTTAGCAATGTTGCTAATATCTTTTCCAGTGAAAAGTATTAACACGATGGATACTACCTACATTCGATTTAATCAATGGTGTTCCGCATGTTGCTAAAGTAATCTTATTTTGTGAGGTATATTTCTCTTGAAGAACATTTGCTTCAAATTTTTCATCAACGTTTTTCATTACAGCGGTTTTGGAAGTTAGTATACGTAAATTTGATACTTACGTCTTGGTTGTACATTTGTGTTCCCTTAAACTAGAAGTTTCAACAAAAGATTGGTTGCAAATCTTCAAAGCAGATTTTTGAGATGCATGTGGTTTTAATCTGAATTTTAAATAAATAAAATACATAGAATACAGTGTTTTCAATAAATTATTTGAAATGAACATATAATAAAGTTATAAACATCTAAAGTTTTTGCAATATACGTAAATTTAGCATTTAAAAATTACTCTAAAAAACGTCTTTTTTTGTTTTTTGTAAAATGCCATATTTTATCAGAACGGAATGTTACAATATTTTGGAATATATTTTTGGAGTCGCTAGACATAAAGCTAACAATATATGTAAACATGTTTACTGTACTTATGTTTTACTGTACAGTTTTTTTAAAATTAAGGTTCATTCAGCGACACAGTGCTTTATTATTCCCTAAAGGAATTTTTCTTCGGTTTTCCGTCCGAACACGGTTTTATGTTATTAAACATAAGATTGTTTTTTTTTTAAACGGAATTTGTATTCAAGAACTTACGCTTTTCCTGAAATGCATATTTTGGTACACAAATAGCCATAAAATTTTCATAATATATTCGTTTTAAAATGAAACTTTGGTCTACTGAACATGTATTTAGGTTAGTATCTATTAAGTTAATATTTATAATTTTGTTACCTTTTAATATCACTCATTTAATAAGATGATGTTATATGTTAAGTTGCTTTAAAAGTTGTCTACTTAATGTAGACATCTTTTTAAACTTAATTGTGTAATGTATTACACAGTTTTATACCAAATAATTATTAAGTAGACAGCTTATAAGGTCTAAAAAGTAAAATAGAAATTCAACTGGCGTGAATATATTATATCATTAGAGTAATCTTAAATAAAATTGTAATTTTAAGAAAATTGTAACTAATTAACTGTAGCTTTACCCTAATTTCTATTTATTAACTAAAATCAATTATAGATAATTAAAAAAAAAATGAAGTACAAAATACTAAAGAACTTCTCCCTAATCTTTATAGCGAGGAATATCTCCCAAAATTTTAGCTCTTGTTACAGGAACAAAAACAAACTACAAGAAAAGCTAAAAAAAAAAACAAACAAACTCAGTGCCTGTATGAAGTTCTTCAAGAGTATGACTCTAAAAGCAGTTCCAGTAAACAAAACTTTAACTAACATAAGACAGGCCAGTATTGTGAAGCATTTTGCAAGACTAATATGAAAAATACCTATAATGTTTCATTTAGATTCATTTATTTGTTAAGTTTGATGTTTTTAAATCTCTAATTACTGGCATTAATTTAGAAAAATAAATTTTAGATGATTTAAGTAGTGACCAGAGGCTTTTATATGAATATTGTGTGGGAATAGTCACAAGAAGTATAAACTTTAAGTATAAGAAGTATAAAATTATTTAAATAAAGTAATTTTCGCAAAGCTATTGATCTTATATGCACTTCCATCAATTTTAACATTAAATAAAAAGTATTCTCAAGAAAAAGGCAAAAAGTATTAAATCTTAAGTTAGCTAAAAAAAATCTCTTGTACCTTTATTTCTAGAAGCTTGATTTGGTTTGTCATAAAATAACTGATGATGGAGCTTCATGCAAATTTTTATGGCAACTTTTGGACAGTTTGGTTAGCAAAATAATTAATTGGACAGTATAGGTTAGCAAAATAATTAAATAATACTGGCACATAAAGAGACATCAATTTAATTGTCAATTTTAACCAACAAAAACAAATTTTTCAACTTAAGTATTTAACACTTTATAATAAAGTGTTAAATACTCAAGTTGAAAAATTCCTCTTTTTAATCATTTTTGTTAAAATTTACAATAAGATAAAATTGATGGAAATGCTTATAAGATCAATAGCTTTGCGAAAATTACTTGAGATTAAAAATCATAAAAAAATATAATAGCTTATAGATATTTTCAATCAAGACATAGATGAACCAGCAGCAACTGTAGATTTTACTGAGATAGTGAAAAAGTTATTTTCTGGAAAAAATTAACTTTTTCACTATCTCAGTAAAATCTACTATATCACAGATCTTTCTTTCAATTCACAAAGTGTTGAGTGGTCTGTACAACTCACAGAGTGAATTGAGTGGTACAATTTGTTTCCAAGGTATAAACATATTGTTGCAAAAATTCTAAATATAAAATGTCTCCAAAGAGTTTATGTCTAAGTTTTATTACAGTGAGACATGATGATATTTTTATTAGTTTGAAATTTAATTGAGAGCTAATTGCAATATATAATATAAAATAAATAAAAATTTATGATATACTATGAGTTAGTCCTTGCCTCATGAGGTAATAAGGGTAAAAGTCCAACTATAGTCAAGGAGGCTTTTACAACCCCAAGCACTTTTTCTCCAAAATGAGCCTTGGCAGTTAAGTCTTCACTACAAAACTTGACAAACAAATTTTCTCACAGTGAAACAAGTTAAGCAAACAAATTATCAAAAGTACACACAAAATAATTTAAAGAGCTTATTTAAGAATCCAATGAAGAATATATCAAATCCTTATACCTAGATGATCTCAAAGGAAGTTTTAATATTGAAAAATACAAAAAATACTAAATACTTATTTAGTATTTTTTGTATTTTTACTAAATACTTATTTAGTATTTTTTGTATTTACAAAATATATATTAACTAACTATAAATTAACTTTATAATTTTAATATATAAAATAGTTCTACTGAATCTATTAATTTCATGGACCTCATGATAATAGAAAAACAATATGGACAGTTACAAACAATGTTACACGAAAAGTCAACTGATACAACGGCATTACAACTCTTTGACCCCCTCCCCCAAGCTTTTACAGTTTTACTGTTACAACAGTTTTACTGTTGTAACAGTAAAACTGTAAAAGCTTGTATAAAATCCAAAAAACAATATTGTTCATAAACACATTGGCAAGTAAAAATTAGAAACTATTTTTTTTATAAATTGTTTCTTGATCTAGTGTACTTTTAAAAATTTAAGTATGATTGAGTTTTTCATTCGGATGGTTTTTAAGTTGATGTTTTGTTCAATTTTTTCACTTAAAAATGTTTTGCAATAAAAAGTTAAACAAAAAAATTTGGTTTAATAAATCGAACTATATTTCCTTAAGTTTAAGAATATGGTTAAATTATTTTTTTAGATAAAAATTTCTTTAAATAAAAATAAAATAATTTATTAATTTTAATTTTTTATAATTAAATTTTTATTTGTCAGTGCTCAGTTTCTCCACACTCACCCTTAGGTGCTTCTGATCATGGTTTGGTCTCTCTAAAACTATTATCTCATTCTTCTTTACCATCAGAATCCTCCTATCAACGTACATTTTACAACTACCTTAAAGCTGACTGGGACTCTTTCCGTGATTTTCCTCGTGATGGCCCCTGGGTAGAAATCTTTCGTCTTCCTGTTGACTAATGTGCTTCTTACATAACTTCGTGGATTCAAGCTGGCATGGAATCCTTTATTCCCTCTCAACGATTCCAGGTCAAGCCTCACTCTTCTCCATGGTTTTTCTCACATTGCGCTACTGCAATAGCCAATCAAAACAATTACTTCCATATCTATCAGCAAAACAATTCTCCAGAAAACAGACATCTGTTTACTACTGCTAGAAACCATTGTAAAAAGGTTTTGTCTACCGCCAAAGCCTGCTATTCTCAGATCATGAAATCTCGTATTTCATCACAAAAATTAGGCTCATGTGACTTCTGGAGAATCTTTAATAGTATCAATATAAGTGCAAGTAATTCCACCTCTTTTGTATGGAACTTTTCATCAATATCATCTCTTGATTCCACTAGTTGCGTTCTATGTGATATAGCCGTCAAACAGGTTGATCCATTGCTCGACATTTGTATCACTCCAGCTTCTGTATCTAAAGTTATTTCCTGCTTAGGACAACATACCTGTTATAGTCTTGCAGAAGTGTTCTCCGGAGCTGTTGTCTATCCTTTCAAAACTATTTAACAAGTGTTTATCAGAGTCTTGTTTTCCAGCCTGCTGGAAAGCAGCATCTGTTATCTCTATTTTCAAAAATTCTGGAGAGCAATCGGATTCGTCTAATTACCGTCCCATTAGTCTTCTTCCTATCATAAGCAAGGTTTTTGAATCTTTAATTAACAAACACTTAATCTCTCATCTCGAATCTCATAACCTACTTTCTGATCATCAGTATGGATTTCAATCTTCTCGTTCTACGGCTGATTTGCTAACAGTAATAACCGATAGGTTTTATCGTGCATTAGATTAAGGTGGAGAGCTTAAGGCCATCGCTCTTGACATTTCTAAAGCATTTGATAAAGTTTAGCATGCTGGTCTTCTCCATAAGCTTTCTTCTTACGGTGTATCTAGAAACATCTTTAAGATTATTGAATCCTTCCTTTCCAATCTTAGTGTAAAGGTTGTCCTTGATGGACAACACTCTTCTTCTTATTCTGTAACCTCAGGGGTTCCTCAAAGTTTAATCCTTAGCCCTATACTCTTTTCAATTTACATTAGCGATCTTCCAGATATTCTCACATCTAAGGTGGCATTGTTCGCTGATGATACTACCATTTATTCTAGTCACGATAAGAAGCCAACTCCCTCTTATTGCTTGCAGGGGGCATTTGAGTTTTAAAAGGATCTCACTTATGCTACAGCATGGGGCTCACAGTGGCTGGTGAACTTTAATTCAGATAAAACTCAATTTTTTTCAGCCAATCATTATCGCAATAATTTAGACCTTCCTATATTTATGAACGGTAATGTACTCAATGAGTCATCTACCCTTCATCTTCTAGGATTAACTCTTACTTCTGATCTTTCTTGGAAACCTTATATCAAATCCGTTGCGAAATTAGCATCTGCTAAAGTTGCATCTCTTTATCAAGCTTGACACTTTCTTACTCTGGATTCTATTCTCTATCTCTATAAATCTCAAATCCGACCTTGTATGGAATACTGTTGCCATATCTGGGGCGGATCTTCTAATGATGCCCTTTCTCTTTTAGACAAGGTGCAAAAACGCATTTTAAACATAGTTGGACCTGCTCTTGCAGCCAACCTTTAACCTCTGTCACATCGTCGTAATGTTGCTTCTCTTTCTCTTTTCTACAAATACTATAATGGGCACTGCTCTAAAGAGCTAGCGTCTCTTGTGCCATCTACTAAAATTCATTCTCGTGTTACTCGTCATTCAATTAAGTCTCATCTTTTTTCTGTTACTGTTCCTAAGTGCTGCAAAAACTCTTATTCGTCTAGTTTTTTTCCTTGAACATCAGTTCTTTGGAATTCGCTTCCTTCATCTTGCTTTTCTGATTCATATAATTTGCAATCTTTTGAGTCGTCTGTCAATCGTTATCTTGCTCTACAATCTTCATCTTTTCTCTTCCAGTAAATTCCAACACTAATTAGTGGTTGCTTGCAGCCTTGTTGGAAGCAAAGATGTTTAAAAAAAAAAAAAATTAACTTGGGCTATCACTGGTTTAATGTTTACAATCAAATGTTTCTACTTTTAAAAATATAAACCATATATCAAATCCGTTGCAAAATTAGCATCTGCTAAGTTTGCATCTCTTTATCAACACTTTCTTATTCCAGATTCTATTCTCTATCTCTATAAATCTCAAATCCAGGCTTGTATGGATTACTGTTGCCATATCTGGAGCGGATCTTCTAATGATGTTCTTTCTCTTTTAGACAAGGTGCAAAAACACATTGTAAACATAGTTGGACCTGCTCTTGCAGCCAACCTTCAACCATTATCACATCCTTGTAATTTTGCTTTTTTTTCACTTTTCTACAAATACTATAATGGGCACTGCTTTAAAGAGCTAGCGTCTCTTGTACCATCTACTAATATTCGTTTTCGTTTTACTTGTCATTCAATTAAGTCTTATCTTTTTTTTTTGACTGTTCCCAAGTGCTCCAAAAACTCTTATTTGTCTAGTTTTTATCCTCGAACATCAGTTCTTTGGAATTTGCTTCCTTCATCTTGCTTTCCTGATTCATATACTTTGCAACCTTGTAAGTTGTCTGTCAATTGTTATCTTGCTCTACAATCTTCATCTTTTCTCTTTCAATAACTTCCAACTTTAATTAGTTGTTGCTTGCAGCCTTGTTAGAAGTAAAGATGTATAAACAAATAATAATTAACTATTCAAAACATTTACGATTTAACTAAAACTTTCTTCACTTAAACTATGTTTTAAATCTGATATTGTAACTGTACCCATTTATTACATTTAACTTTCAGCAACAATTTTCTCAAAATTATTTGAATAAGAGAATTTTAGAGGACTAAAGTCTTTTTGTTTAAATAGATTTCTTTTTTAATAAAGTATAAAATTCCTAAAAACAACATGCATATTTATAAAAAATGTTTGATCTTGATAATGCTTTATATAAAATATAAAAAGAATGGTATCGCGTTTTTTATATTCTATTCGAGATTTCTTGTTAAAATAATTTTAAGTTGGAAGCTTATATTTTGTGTTAACAACATATAAGATATAATTAAAAATATTTATATGGCTGATTTTTGTGATTCTTTGAGTATATTAAGTAAATTTATAAGTTAAGTAACAGTGAGCTACTGTAGTAATTTAACAGGTTGTTTTGATTTGGTTTAAATGTAAATTTACTGTGATATACTTTATCCGTTTAGTAAATCAAACTAAATTTAACTTAAAATAATATTGGCTTCACACAGAGAATTAAAGTAATTTAAATTCAAAAGCGCTTTATGCTTAATAAAATTTCTGTGCAAGAGAGCAAAGATCACACTTCTATTCAAAAGAAAACTTTAGTGTGACATACTTTATGACCCCTAATAAAAAACTTAGACAAAAACATTACTTTTAAGAATGACCAAAAAAATGCTAAATTAGAAAAGAAAAAAAAATTAACAAAAAAAAAAAATATGTATATATATATATATATATATATATATATATATATATATATATATATATATATATATATATATATATATATATATATATAATAAAAACTACTAGTTATTTGAGACCACTATTTTTTATTAATTTGTTTTTATATCAGTCTTGATATAATTTTATATGTTTTTTTATTTGGTTAAAGTCATCCATGGAAGCAAGTTACTGAAGCTGCATGGCGAAAATATCCAAACGAATTGAACCCAAATGTATTAGCAATAGATGTTTTAGACAGAAATGTTTTAGACGATGGTAGACTGGTTACAACTAGAATATTTGGAACTCAGTGGATTTTTCCTAAAGTTATTACAACACTGCTTGGAATGCCTGAAATGTGTTATGCTATAGAGTCTTCAGAAGTTGATATGAAAAATGAAAAAATGACATTAAAAATGATTAATTACACTTTTTGGGGAATTCTTGCTGTGGAAGAAAAGTTGGTTTATCAACCTAACAAAGAAAATCCTAATGAGTATGTGCAAGGTTTTTACTTACATAAAAGTATTTTATCTAAATACCTATACCTAAATCATATATATATATACATATATATATATATATATGTATATGTATATGTGTATATACATGTATATGTGTATATATATATATATATATATATATATATATATATATATATGTATATATATATATATATGTATATATATATATGTATATATATATATATATATATATATATATATATATATATATATATATATATATATATATATACATATATATATATATATATACATATATATATATATATATATATACATATATATATATATATATATATATATATATATATATATATATATATATATATATATACACATATACATGTATATACACATATACATATTCATATATATATATATATATGTATATGTATATATATATATATATATATATATATATATATATATATATATATATATATATATATATATTAGGGTGTCCCTTAAAATAACCATTTTGAAGATAATCTGCTCTCACCCCCTAAATGTGTTCTATCTAATACAAAAACACTAGGTTTAAATTTTTTTTTAACAAAAAATGTTTTAAGACCCTTGAATATTTAATGGGTCCCTAATATTTTTAAAAAATATGTCAACCTGGTACTCAAATAAAGCAAGATTATATAAAAATTTCAAAAATACAGGTTTGGACAGGAATTTTTTTTTCTTTACTACTTGACCACGGCTTTTTTGATGTTTTAACAATTTGAATGCGATTGTGTTACGTTATAAATATCTTTTAATCGTTTTTCTAAAGTTTTTATTTTATGCAAAGGCTTTAAATAAAACCATAAAATCAATTATAGTTACTGTTTACATAAATGCAATTTCAATTCCTTAGGTGAAGCACTAAATAATTAAGTTATAATGCTCGAATTAAAATTAAATTAAAATGTTTGTTGGCATTTTATAATATTTAAATCGCAGGCGCATTTTTTTTTGTTTTATTTATTTTCTATTTTAACGAATAAAAAAATTTAAAATTCTTTTTTTTAATTAGGCTTATTAGAATTAGAGCATGAAATTATTAAAAATTACTATTTTAAAAAGATTACGCTATTTTTTTAAAGGGATCCCCAAGCGTCAAGACAAGTTGTGTTCATATCAAAGATAAACATTAGAAAATAAGTTAAATGTTAATAAAACCAAAACAAATTATTCAATGAGATATTAACAAAAAACTTTTAATTTTTAACGCCATTTTGTTTCTCGCAAAAGAAAGATGCGGCTCTTTGGCTATTTATTATTATTTTAATCCGGTCTAAATAATGCGTTTTTGTATTTAATATTTGACGTCAATAAAAAAAGTTTCTTTTAAAAAACCTAAATTGAGTTAAACATGTAGAGTATGTTTGGGGTTTCCCTTTTGCGGTTAAACGAAAGTATAAAATATTTTAATATCAATATAATAAATATATAAGATCATTTTAAAAACGGTATTTTGAATTATAAGTATAAATTAATATAATAAAATATAAATATAAACTAAAAATATGTATTAGATTATTTTTAAAACATTTTTTTAAATATTTTTAAAAAATTAGGATTTTTAAATTCTTGGAAATTTCACTATGTTGGATTATATTGTACTTAGATATTGTTTGATAAATACAAGGGCATATTGCGTAGTTTTAAATTATTTGTAGTTGTTTATTATTTGATTTGTTAGCTGTTCTACAAAATTGGAATTTAGTTGAAAATTAAGTTTTCACAGTAATATTATAATAAAAAATAATTTATTTTAGAGTAGGAATTAAATTATATTTGTTAACCATCTGACTTCCTGATTTTCACACTTTTTTTAGATATCCAAGTCAAAGATGTTATCGAAATGTTTTTATTTATTCCTGATCTAGGTGGCCAAATTTTGAGTAATTGAAAATCATTTTAATTTTAATCTAAACAAATGCTGAAAAGTAATTCTAGGCAAAAAGAATTTGTTTTAAAAGAGGGTTTTTTTTTTTTTTTTGGAGTTGAACTATAAAAAGATTTTCTAAAATTGATAATTAAATTTATAAAGCAACCCCTCCTTCAATCCCCCCCCCCCCCCATCTAAGTAAATGTCACGCAGTGGCCCAAGTTATTAAAAATATTAATTTTAACATCCTAATATATATAACTACATAATTTTAATATTTTGATAAATACATCATTTCATTATGAAAAAATAAATTGTAGCGATAAATAGACCAGACAATAGTGAATTTCACAATGTTTAAATAAAAATAACTAAGATACTGATTGACGTTTTCATTTTTATGTAAAACAGATTTTTATATAATCCAGGGCTGACGACACCAGGGGCCAGGGGTACATGATCTCAAAAACACACACACAATTTTTTTTCAGATGATCTTTTTTTTCATCCAAAAATTAACTTTTTTTAGAAATATAGGATTATGCCCCTCCCCCCCCCCCCCCCCTCATTACTTGAAAACCGTGTCATCGGCCTTGTAATCTTCAATAATATCTAATTGTGTATTAAAATCATACAATAGATAAGTAAAGCTTTAATAGTCAGACTTTTTATTTTAATTAAAAACTATTTAGTTTATTTTAAAAACAATACTAATATAAGTACTATACTAATTAGTATGATACAAAAATTTAAATATAATCTTGACATTTGCTAAAAACAGGTTGTGCTATTAAAATCTAAATTCACATAAATAATATTTTATTTGTGTAATTTAGTGATAAATAGTACAAATAAATTGCAGATTGTAAAAGAAAACATATACTTTGCTGTATTTTTTGATAAAAGAAAAGTTCGCTTCGATTAATTACTATTTTTATTGCGCTAGTTTATTTTAACTCAAACACTTCACAATACATTAAACAAAAATAAAAACATGCTACAGTGAACATTTTTTATAACCACCACAGACTATTTTTGAAGGGGAAACCCCAATCTGATTATGTAAAACTGAACTGTTTAAAAAATCTGCGGTAAAAGAAATTATCTATCATTGAAACCAGATGTTTTTTTAACTGAAAAAATGTGCAGATTTGAGAGCCTAAAATTAGGCTCTCAACCGGAAGTATAAACAGCAAATGCTTTTGTTAATATTTCATTCAATAATTTGTTTTGAAAGGTTTAATTAACATTTAACTTATTTTCTAATGTCTTTGATATGAACACAACTTGTCTCGATGCTTGGGGATCCTTTTAAACAATTTTTTTTTTGCAACTTTTTTGAAAAAATAAATGTTTATACAATTTAAAAATGTCATATACAACACTTTTTAATAAATTTAATAAAATTTGTTTATTTATTAAACAATCATTAGTAGTAATTTGTTACTTATTTTAAAAATGCTTTGCGTAACTTAAAAGTTTAAAAAAGTAAGCTTTAATAACGTTTATTAGATACATAAATAAAAACATAACAAAAAGTTTCGCTTCAAGTTTAAGTTTTATTATTTAGTGCTTATATAATTTCTTTTTTGTTACAAATTTGTTTTTCAGTTCTTTTTTCGTTAGGATTTTTTTTCTCATTAGTTTTTTATTTTAACTTTTTTCCTTATTTTAAGTTTAGCTCAGCATTTCTCCATTCAGACCATTTCTGAAATTTTTAAATCATCAAAACATGTAAACAATTGTGATCAAGTTGTCAAAAATTAAAATTATTTGAGTGGTCTGCAATAGCGCTCAATCGCATGTCATTCCTGTCCAAGCCTGATATTTTATATATATATATACATATATATATATATATATATATATATATATATATATATATATATATATATATATATATATATATATATATATATATATAGTATATATATATATATATATATATATATATATATATATATATATATATATATATATATATATATATATATATATCAGTGGCGGGTTTTAGGGGAGGTATGGGGGTAGTAACCCCCCCCCCCCTCCTTGGGAATTTTTTCAATTTTTTTTTTTGTAAATTGACTATTATGCAGAATGAGACTATTATACTGACAAATTAAATTGACTATTATACGTAATTATAGGTATATGAACTTGCTTATTACATTAAAGTACAAAAAATTAAAAAAAAAAAGTTACTTAAAAATGAAAATATGCAGACCTTTTTTTTTTGTTGCATATTTATATAAAAAAATTTTATCCTAATTTTTTTTTGCATTAATTTACAGCATTTTCAGAAAAAGAAGAAAAAAATGAAGAGATTTATTATAGATGATGCCTATTTTTTTTATACAATCCTCTCTAGTCATTAAAGTGTAGTAAAAATGTGGCGGGATGAACGAATTACAGGGTTGGGGAATTAAGGGATGGGAGGGGTATAATGAAATCTCACTAATGGGGCAATGAGCCTGTCTACTTATTACTTATTGATTTTAGTTACCTATCTAAAATAAACTTATTGAAAATGATGCTTTGGCTTTTAGCTAAAAAAGAAAAATGTTTATTAGAATTGTATAATCAAAATTGAAATTTTACGATTTTATTTTTTTATTTAGTTTTATGATTAATTTAGTAACTTTTTAACTTTTTAACTGAAACAACCTGTTAATTAAAAAAAAAAAATTTAATGACATTATTTTTATGAAAGTTTTTATATTTTATTTAAAACAGCTAAATTTCTTTTTATTTACTTTTTATTATTTACAAATATATTTTCATTTTTGCTTATAATTTTTACACACACATAAATTGCTTATATAATTTTAACACACACATTTTTGCTTATATAATTTTTACACACTTTTTTCAAATGACTAAACATAAATTTCTTATCTTTTGTGTTTTTGTTTTTTGAATATCTTATACTGCAGTGTGACATACTGAAATAGCCTGCTGCCAGAGGCTTTAACACATACATCAACTGATAAATAGCCTGACTCGCAGCGGAGTGCTGCTATATCGACTGAGGGTTTGGCATGGGGCAGCAATCTTTTCTTTCATTATTCTTTGTTTTTAACTTCTTTTTATGAAAATGTATATTAAATTAAAGTAACAAAAATATGGTTACATATTATTCATACAATTTGTTACATAAATATGCAGTAGATATATTTAATTTTTATGTAATTTTTGTACTTTTAGAACTCGTTTGACTCAAGGTGCAAAAATTCAAATTAATGGTCTGCAATTTGCAAATTATTTTGAAGGAGTTATTGTAAAAAACTTTGAATCAACTTCTATTAAAGTAAGTAAAAATTTATAAATATACATACATGTATATATATATATATATATATATATATATATATATATATATATATATATATATATATATATATATATATATATATATATATATATATATATATATATATATATATATATATTAGGGATGTACCGAAGCTTCGGCATGCCGAAGCTTCGACACTTTTGCAGAAGCCAGGGTGAGTTTTTGCCGAAGCTTTGGCTTTGGCGAGTTTTTTTTGGGTAATTAAAGGTAATAAGCTACTGTTATAATAAGCATAAAATAATTTTATTGGTTACAATATAATTACTTTATATTAAAATTCTACTACTTGTAATTTGCTCCTTAACTTTGAATTTATGACGTATGCCGCGGCATACATAGCATACATTGCAAAACTGCAAACTAAATTGTTATCTTTTTTTTGATTGCCCGCTTATCAAAATTAATGGGTGCTTTTTTATATTTTATTTAAGTTCTATGTTTAGTTTTATTCCATTGTTGTATTTACTGAAACCTATTTTCACTGTAATTTGTATTTAATTTTTTGCGCTTGAAACATGCGCTAGTAAAATTATTTCTTAACACCACTCAAAAACATGAATCATTATGATTTTATAATTAAAGAAGCAAATAACCTAATGAAAATCAATGGCAGCATGCTGAAATAATTGTATGCATACTAAAACCCTTTGAAAGCAAAAAAACAAAAGGTATGAGTGCAGACACATCAGAGATCATACCGTTTCTTGACTATGCTTAGGGCAATTCAACTGAAATCAAAACTGTTGTCAAAAATGGGTATAAATGAAAATGCTTCACAGAAATGTGAAAACACAGAAATGTGAAAACACAGAAATGTGGAGGGGAAAAAAAGTATAATAAAGACTACGTTTTTAAATTAAAATTTGCCTAATTTCTAACATTGTTACTTATTTAAATTAAATTAACTAAAGTAACAAGTTGCAACAAAAGTTCTTTTAAAAAACATTCTATTCGACAGAAATGGGCAAGCCAAACAAGTTTCTTAATTAAAAGTTATCGAGTTTTCGAAAACTTTTTTTTCAAAAAGGTTTTGTTAAAAATTAAATACTTTTTAGCGTTTTTTTTTTTTACATTTGTAATTGAAAAATATAAATAAAAAAGACAATATATGTAACTAATTTTTTAAACCTTTTAAAACTGTGTTTTAAAACTGTGCACATAATTAAAATAGATCAAAGTTAAAATCAAATTTGTTCTTGTTTTCACTCTAATAAATCAAACAAAGAAAAGCAATTTAAATATGAAAACTTAAGAATATTGCTCATGAATGAAACAAGTTGAATAATTTTAATCAAACGTTTATAAAATATAAAAATATTCCTACTATGAATATAAGCCACCAAAAATAAAAAATTTATTTTGATTGAAATATATTTGTATCTAAAAAATGCCAACTTTATCTACTTTTTTAAATGTCAGAATGCAATAACCTTTTTTTTTAGGCCACACCTAAAATCTTAATTTTGCAAAAATGCTGTATGAATTTTCTTCCTGGCTAACACCCTATATATATATATATATATATATATATATATATATATATATATATATATATATATATATATATATATATATATATATATATATATATATATATATATATTCCTGCAAATTCATTGCACTACTAATATATTCTGCTAATAGGTTAGTCTTGAATTACATTGTAAAAAAAGTGTTTCCACTCTCTTTATTAACATATATTATTATTATTTATTATAATATATTATTAGAATTAAGTTAAAGAAATAACAAAAATTTGGATAAATTTAAGCACAGTGTCGCTGAACGAACTTTAGGTTGAAAAAAATTGTACAGAAAAACTGTTTACTTATATTGTTAGCTTTATATCTGGCGACTCCAAAATTATATACTAAAAAACTGTAGCATTCTGTCATGATGAAGTATGACATTTTTCAAAAAAACAACATTATTTTGCATATATTTGCATAGATATTATGCAAATATATGCAAAATACAATATTAATAACTATTCTTAATAACAAACAGTTTCATAATATATCATCATACAGTTAAATACTTTCATTATTATTGTATGAGTTGTGATGATAGTCTTTGAGTAACCTGTACCTTGACATTTCTGAAAATTTCGAATAAAGAGACTCTCCTGCTTGTTCACTGGTGAGTCCAAGGGCCAAATTCCCCTCCATGATACTTTGCTTTTAAAAGACCATTTTTTTAAAATAAAAAAGTGTCTATTCGTTAGCTCCCCAGCTGTGAGCTAATTCATTCCATATAATGTTGACTCAGCCCTAACAATATAAATATATAAGTTTGAATAAAAGTTTAAAATATAGAAGATTATTTTAAAGGTATAGCTTTACTGATTTCATATTCATTATGCAATATAAATAGTTTTTATTAAAGATATTTTACAGAAAGTTTTAAAAACATTTACAGTAAGAATGTGTAATTCTGGAATGCTGCAAATGTCTAGAATCCTGGTTGATGTAACGAAAAATTCTTGCATTTGTTAAAGTCTTTTAGCTTCGAATCCTTTTTCCCAGCTGCTATTAAGGCTAAATTGTTTTCTTTGATTGACCCAATAGTTTTAACTTCTCCAGATACAAACAAGAAATCTTCCATGTCAGAACTCTTATTGCAAAAACAACAGAAGTGTTTTGCACCTAATGTGTAAAACCAAAAATAGCATGATTATTATAGCAATTATATAATAAATGTAAAGGTTTCTTTTAAGACGAACATCTTTTTTAAAGTTTGAAACGTTTATAACGCCAAGACCTATCTTAAAACTACCACCTCCACCATCAACAAATACTTTAACCTAAAACAGACTTTTAAATTAAAAACAAAATGTGACTGTATGAATTACTAAACCATTATGTAAAAACTACCAAAGCATCTTCCTTTTCTTGATGATTTTCCATAGAAGTTCCGAAATATTTTTTACAAAAACAGAGGGTCTAAATAAAATTAGTGTTGGTAAATATTTTTTGAACTTTTTTTTCTTATTTTAATATTACGTCTACCGCTAACTAACAAGAGTTTAAGATTTAAAAAAGTTAAGGAACGAAATAAAATAAAAAATTGTTTAATTAAATAATTAAATAAATTTTACAAAATTATTTTATAGCATAATATAGTGAAAAATAATTCCTGAAAAATTTCTCTTGGGAATCAAAAACTTTTTTAAATGTTTAGTAAGATTTGATTCAACAGATTTTCGACCGTGTTTTACCCGAATCCATTTAGCAATGTTGCTAATATCTCTTCCAGTGAATTGTCTATAAATTTTCAGATTTTTATATCATTATGTGTCCACACAGGATTAACACAATGGATACTACCTACATTCGATTTATTTGATAGTTATAGTTATAGAGTTTTTAAAATTAGCACACAGATACAAGATATACCTAATTTTAGTTTAAAGGCTCTAGCTTTAGAAATAATCAATGGTGTTTCGCATGTTGCTAAGGTAATCTTATTTTGTAAGGCAAATTTCTCTTGAAGAACTTATGCTGCAAGTTTTTGAAGTTAGTATACGTAAATTTGATACTTGCGTCTGGGTTGTACATTTTTGTCCTTATAAACTAGAAATTTCAACAAAACATTGGTTGCAAATCTTCAAAGCAGATTTTTGAGACGCAGGTGCAGGCTTGGTTGGGAAGCGGGAGCGATCGCTCTCAAATACTGACCCTGGAAATTATATTTAGTTGCGAAAAACTGGCCAGGTTTTTTAGTGGTTTTGAGAACATTTAAGTTTATGTACGAAACAAAAAATTTTTGTTTTACGGACATACATGGAAACATAATAAACTTGAATGTTCTCAAAACATCTTTGTGCGAAAGAATGAAAAAAATATTCACGAACACTAAAAATTAACCAAGAAACTAATTCTATTGGTTCAAAAAATACGCTGACTAAAAATAAAGTTCTAGAGTATTCTGTTTAAATGTTTTAGGAATTGTATTACTCACAATTTGTTATGTTTTGAGATTTCTAGTTTTCTTGTTTTAAAAATATATATTATTTGTTTACAAAAATAAATATTTTAAATATATATTAAATTGTCAAAGTTTCAAAAGTTTATTATAAATTATAGATTTTATTACTATATTCTTATTTTTTATTTAAAAAGTATGTAATCTTTATGTAAATGTAATTTTGTGTATCTGTTTTTTATCATAATGTATCTTTTAAAGCAGTTTTTATGATTTAAACAAAGACTTACAAAAATAATTGCGTTTTCAATGAAGTTATAATTGTTATAGTTGATAAAACTAATTGTGTAACAAACATATAAGAAGTTTCTGGTTACTAAACACAAACAATGCATACAAAGTATCTTGCGGATGAACAAGCACCGCGCCTGAGGTCACGACAGAACACAAATATATATAGCAAATAATTAGATATAAAGAAAAGTTTCTATATATTGGTTTACTAATTCTAATTGTTTTTGCTTAAGTTGCCATTCTTGAAACTCGTTATACTTTTTTCTGTTTTAAATACTAATTAAAATTAAAAAGCCCACTCACTAAACATCATCAGCGATATTGTGAAACAGTTTCGCCTCCTCGTCATAAAGTATTTTTAACTTTTTTAGTTGATTTCTATCTTGTTAATTTAATTTCTATAGTAATTCAATGATTTAATTATTTCATTTGTTTATCTTACTAAGAAGAATTGCTTCAAATATGTTAAACTTTTCAAACTACGCGAAACATAAAATAGGTATTGAAAAAATTAACTTTTTTATTTATAAAATAATTTAGCATAAATAAAACTAAAACTTGCAAACTTTGCTAAATAAACAGCATTTGTTTCTTTTTTTAAACAATCATAAGTTGTTACTTTATATAAAAAACATCGCTTGATTTTATAAAAAAATTATAAAAGAGCGATGTTTCGAAAATATTTGTTCTAAACGTAATTTATTTAGCTTTAAGTTTTTTCGCGTTTAAAGATATTTTATTTGCCAAATTTTTTTTTTTTTTGTAATTGTCTCTTATTGGTCCAATTAATCTTATGCGCTTTTTTTTTTTGCTTTTTAAAATGTTGTCAAAACAATTAAAAAATCTGGCCAGCTTTTCGCAACTAAATATTATTTGTGGTCAGCAATCAAGAGCGATCGCTCCCGCTTCCCGACCAAGCCTGCAGGTGGTTTTAATCTGAATTAATAAATGGTTTTTATTTTATTATAGAATCTAATTATTTTTAATAAGAAAAAAATATACATATATACTTGAATAAAACTTGCCTTGTCTTCCCATATGTGGTTTTATGTTGGCTCCTTTTCTTTTAGCAGTTGAACATATAAGACACAAGAAAAACCCTTGTCTCCTAGTAACAATCTCCAAGACAATACCTGTTAAAGCAATTTTATGAATTTGAAACCATCTAGTTAGTGGGGCAGTATGAGGGCAAACATGCTGATGAAGAACTGTTTTACATGTTGAGCAAATTCCAGATGCAAATATTGGATCATTGAAGTTGTATTCAGAAGATTAAAATATTTTTATAAAATGAATCAATAGAGGACTAAGTAAAGTTACCGATTTTCTGTAGCATATTGCGCATTTTTTTTGTCTTGCTTTAGAATGACATGGAGAATAGTTTGGCATTTTATTCAAGCAGGTGAAATATCTTGTTATATTAGCTATCATACAAGGAAATTTTAAGTAAGTAAAATACATAGAATATAGTGTTTTCAATAAATGGTTTGAAATGAACATATAATAAAGGTATAAGCATCTAAAGTTTTTCAATATACATAAGTTTAGTATTTAAAAATTGCTCTTAAAAACGTCTTTTTTTGTTTTTTGTAAAATGCCATATTTCATCAGGACGGAATATTACAATTTTTCGAAATATATTTTTGGAGTCGCCAGACATAAAGCTAACAATATATGTAAACAGTTCTTCTGTACAATTTTTTTCAACCTAAAGATCATTCAGCGACACTATGTAAGAGCTGTTATGGGCCAGGATTTTCAAAAAGTTTGTGATCCAAAAAACTCTTTAAAGTAGTAAACTCTGTCTCTTTAAAGTAGTTTCACAAAAAATGAAGAATTGTGAAAATATCCAAAACTATGGGAATCGAGTGCTTGCAAAATTTTAAGGATTGAGTCAACATAATGAAATGCGTCAATAATAGAGAATGGAATTGCTCTCCAAAAATGAGGATCGAAAACAGTTTCTTTCTTGTCAAAAAATTTATTCATCCTCCTCTAAGGCAGCTATAATGGTAAAAAATTGCTTTTTAAAAGTAGTTTTCTGCCAATTTAAAGGTTTTGCCCAATTTAGAATAAACTTCATCTTTACTATATACATCTTAAATACTTTTGAAATATGTGTTATAATATTCAGGTTTTTTTGTATGTATTGCATATGTATTATAATATTTAGGTTTTTTACTTTTGAAATATGTATTATAACAATAATATTCAGATTTTTTTTCAAGTGATCAACGATCATTACGACCTCTCGATCATTGATCATCTTGTTGATCTTAATGATTTTAATTGTTGTTTTATTTAATTGACTATTATGTTACATTTTTTATTCTTACATTTAGTATTCTTTTACATTTAATATTCTTTGAATTGTTTCAATTATTTACAGAACTTCTCTATTATTATTATAAACAAGGTTTGTGAATAACAGAATTTTCATGTTTCAATTTTTTGATTCACTCTGAATTTTTTATTTTTGAATATATAAAATGAACTAAGTATATAAATATGTTTTACATATATAAAATTTCTAAGCCAGTTATTTTTTTTGTTTTTACAAATTCACTTTTAAAATGCTTCAAACAACCAGTATTTAAAATCAATTTCTCAAAAAAAAAAATTAGAGATCTATAGAGGAAAATAATCTATAGAGGAAAATAATTTTCCTCTATAGATCTCTATGGATCGCGTGTTAAAAATCCACTGTATTCTTGAATGAGGGCCAATCCACGTTCAGCGTGGTCATTTACAACTTTTAAAGACTCAACTGTTTCTGCAGCCTTGTAGTCATCTCTGTCTTCCCAAAAGTCCGGATCAACTGTTAGAAATCCATATGGCATTTCCATCATTCGGAGCAGATTCATTGACTTTGCTGTGACAAAATCTTCTAAGTTCTTGTTCCCGAATGAATCAAGATCAACAGTGATACGCTTCGAATGATCCTGATCTTGGTCTTCTTCATTTTGCATTGCACTCACCATCAGTCTCTTGGTTGATGAACTGACCCGACTGTCGAAGAAAGCCAAGCTAACAAGTTCCTGTGACAAAGTGATTGGAAAACTTGCGTGATGTTGACATCGAGATCGCTGAATGGATTGATGAATATTCAATCAGTGACTTCAGCAGCAGCAGATCATTATAAGGAGCACCTGATGCTTGAGGTGCAGATATCCAGGCTTTTAGGTAGACACGTACTGTGAATACACACACGTCACGTAATCCTCTCACTTCAGCAGGAGTCAATTTAAATTGAGCCTTAAACATCCAGATCTTGAGACTGTATATGACTTTGGACATCCAGCGGGCATGGTGCATTCCAGGTGACATGAATCGCACACCTTCAACAGGAGCAGCACCAAGAAAAATAATCACAAGCACCAAGAATTCTTTATAATCATCCCTCGACTGACTCTGTTCAAGATGCTTGTTGGCATAATCGATAGTGTCTTGCTTTGTCAGCCACGAGACATTTGACATCATCAGTTGCAATCCCTGGCTCATAATTAGCCGTGTCTATGAAACCCCAGTATTGCTGGAAACGTTTGAATAGTGGAACTTCTGGACAAGATGTTGCTCCCATACACACTTGGAACACTGCACCAATTCTTCTTAAGAAGACGCCATTCTTCAAATGTCTGTTCAAGCTTCGTTTGGCAGTTCTGATGATCTCTCATCGGGATTCTAGCTTTTTGCCAAAACTTTGTTATTTCCGTGATGGTAACAGCCGATGATTGTCTTATAGTCTCCTTTAATTCGAGATAGTGATACAAGAAAAATCCAAGCGCCATATGTAATAATGGCAGCTTGCTGCCTGTTAATTCAGTAATAGTTTCGCCAAGTAGATACAACTCAGTTTGAGATCTGGTTAATTTTGCCCGAGATGACATTTTCAATAATTCAGAATTGAATATTTATCTGAAATAAATATAAAAAATGCATTGGAAAAATTTGACCATTTGAAGTCAGAAATTTTAACATGTATTGTATGGTTTATTTAATTATTTTTAAAAATATATTGTATATTACATATAATTTATGTTCATTTATTTATCTCGTCATCATCATCACATTCATCAGCATTATCAGTTTAACGTCCATATTATAATATAGAATTAATTAATTATTAATATATTTACTATTTACAATTTTACACTCACAAGACACAAAGAGTTAAGGTATTTTAATATATCAATCTTTTAAATTACCAATTGATGAGAATCAGGTACTGGAGAGAAGAAAGTCAACACCAAAATTATAGAAATCTTCTTTAAATTTGAAAATCAAGAAAATTTATTTAAACAATATTTCAACTTAAATTGCCATTTATATTTTAATAACTAAAACAATGCCTCTATTTAGTAAACAAAATAAGCATACAGCTTTAACAGTGTTGCTTAGTCTGCAACTCAGCATTGCAGTAAACATGTCTGTCTAGCTAGTGATCTTGTCTGTCTGGGATTATGTTTTGATTTATGTAAAAATTACACAGTCAGGAAAAAATTGAATCTGGGTTATTTCCATTTGCCATGATTGCATTGGTTGGTCAATGATCAAATATGATAGTATAGACCATAATTGTGGAGTATATGATGATTTAGGACAGTGCAATTTAGCTTTGTAGTTAAAATTAAGTTCTTAATTTAACATGAGAATTATTCTGGTATAGAAGAAGTAATAATATTATGTAAAAATCAAGTGTAGCCAAACCGCAGCTGTCGAGTATCCGAAATTTTATCATCATTGAGCTACCCCTAAATATTGTTTAATTGTTCTCATATTTTGCCTGAATTATTTTTTCATATATAGGAACAAAATGAGAGGGTAAGAAGATCATATTTCAAAAGTTCAAAAATAAGGTCCACCCTAATATATATATATATATATATATATATATATATATATATATATATATATATATATATATATATATATATATATATATATATATATATATATATATATATATATATATACATATATATATATATAAAATTTATTTTTGTTAGTTATTTATTTTTATTAAGTAATTATAATTATGTTAAATTTTATTAAATCGACACATTTTTTTATTGTAGGGCCGAACAGCATTGGAGCAAGTTTTGCATAAAATAAAAATTGAAAATTTCTATTTAACTCTTGCCAAAAAAATTGAAGAACTGTCTTTAGATATTGATAAAGCGGCAACTTATATTGACGAAGAACTTAGTGTAACAGAGCGTATAAAAGAGTTAACAGATGATCTTGATAAGGCTTCATCTATCATAAATAGTGAAGTAAAACATTTTTCTGCAAAAATCCAAAATGATTTAAAGCATCTGTTCAATGATTTAAGTGCGGATTTACATGAAATTCAAAAGACAGTTGTTGTTCGTGATACCAATCCACGTAGTAGTTTAGTTGCCGCTGTACAACAAGCTGGAATTACTGCAAAATCTAATACTAACAACTAAAATAATTTTTTACATTAAATATACTGAATGCGTCGTTTTCATAGTTTGTTTTCTTAATTAAGTTTATGTTCTGTGTTATTTATTGAATTACTTCTATTATTTCTATCTATTTAATTCATAGTTAAAATTTCAAAGTTGCAGCTAAGAGATAATAATAAGCGTTTAGTTCGTTTGACAGAGGTGATCAAGCACAAAAGGCTTTTATTTGATAATAGTGTGTTACTTAATAATTATTTAGTTTTTCTTTTTAAAAACGGTATTTATAATTTCAAGCAATTAAAGGGGTTTGTAAATGTTCCACTTTATTTGTAAAGAAACCACAGTTTTTATCAAGTTTTCAATTCTATAGCCTCTGCTAATTGAGGCATTTCTTGAGGTAGCACTACTTGAGGTTATGCTAAACACTACGTAAGGTTTGCTAAGCAAACCCTAAGTAGTGTTTGCATTACTTACACTAAAGGTCTTGCCTACTTAGATTCTTCTGTTTATTTTTTTCCTACTGAATTCAAAAATCACTTTCGTTTTAGTGTAACATCAATAGTTTTTTAATGTTTAATTTCATATTTTCTCGATATAATATAGCTTCTATTTTAAATTTTGTCTTTATTCTTTTGAATTTCTCTGACTTTAAAATTTGTTTTATTTAGGGTCCGACAAATATAGAATCATTAGAAAACGAAAATTGTAATTAAGAAATAGAAAGATGTAATTGAGAACGCAAAAATTTTAATTTAGATATCGCTTTAAAGTAGTAAGTGTGAAATGGCGCTTAAAAAAAATGGCGCGTAAAAAAATGGAGCGTATAAAATGACGCACTTAAAAATGACGCAAGATTTGTAGCGTAAATTTAATTTTTTTAGGGAAAAATTTATAATTTTTGGGCAAATGAATTTAACGTAATAAACACTAAAAACAATAAATATGCGGTATGTAACCCGAGGGCCATGGCGGGATTTGTCCGGGGAAGGATGACCACGCGCTGTGACTGTGAATTTGCTATTTTAGACTGCGAACTTGCTATTTTCATTTATGTGTTCTCAATTACAAGTTACGATTTCTCAATTACATATTATGATTTCTCAATTATATCTTACGTTTTCTCAATTACATGTTGTGTTTCTTAATTACATGTTGTGTTTCTTAATTACATGTTACGACTTCTTATTTACATGTTGTGTTTCTCAATTACATATAACGTTTTCTCAATTACATGTTGTGTTTCTTAATTACATATTACGACTTCTTAATTACAACTTTCATGTTCTCATTTACATCTTGAAAAGGTGTAGTGCTTCCAATACCGGTAGTACCGGAATACCGGTAGTACCGGAATACCGGTATTACCGGACATTTTTAAGTACCGAAATACGGTATTGGTTTGGCTCAATACCGGTACTAAAAATATATGTAGAGGGCTTATGATATAGCAGGTGCTATCGCCCTCTTTACGTGAAACACTATAGTAAATGAAATACTTAAAACTTTCAACAACGCTTCCGGTAGGAAAAAGATAGCTAGATGAGAAAAGACGTGTTTAAATTGTCTAAAACAAGTATTCTACGTACTTTATACTTAATATCTAGTTGCCAGCTCATTTCCCACTAGGTTTAGTAGGAAATGAGCTAGCAACTAGCCAGCGAACAGCTAGCGTTTAAGACGTATAAAATACGTAGAATACTTGTTTTAGACGATTTAAACACATCTTTTGTCATCTAGCTGTCTTTTTCGTGACCGGAAGTTTTAAGTATTCCATTTACTTTCGTGTTTTCATTAAATAATGAAGCACCAATTT